GCCGGCACCCATAATAACGTTCAGTTCGACCACACCCACAACCAGTGAATCCATGCCGGCGCCCATAATAACGTTCACTTCGACCGCATCCACAACCACCATAACACTGCAATACACAGCACATTCTGATGGGCGGGCATTTGGCGCGGGCAAATTCAGGGGGGGGGGGGGCGTAACTTTAGGAAACCTTCACTTCCCTCAAAAAAGATCCACAAAGAGAGTCTTTAAGCTTTTCGTCCGGCTTTTGCCGAGCTTGCTGGTTTCAGTATGGAATTAAGGAATGAAAAAGCAAGTGGCAGCTATTACAGTATTAGGCATTATTTATACTGGCTATTACAGCAACCCATTCCTCCATTCCCTACTTACGAAGTTTTAAGCTTGAGGTGCAGGGATTCCACCAAAACAAGCCTGGAGTTAAGTGATGTATTATATCATCCGCTTGTAGCACGTTCCCTCAGTCAGTAGTAGCACGAGACCCTGGAGTTACTAATAGTTCAGGGCACCCAATTATAATGGTAACATGCTGGGCTGTTTAGGGGCTCATATAATATGTATCACCTATCTCCATGGTCCCGCAATGTAAGGGCTATTGCCATATTATTGTTACGTAGTTTAGTACATTCCCATGACACGCTTATTATTACGCAATCGTAGCATTACTACCATAGGATTGTTACATCGATCACTACATATTAAGATGGGAGCAGTTGGAACAGCTGATTCAGTACTTATGTACCACAAGAACTTGCCACATGCTCCACCAACATAAGTTTAGGATCTAGGGTTACCTGGAGATCCTAGTTCACTATAAATCTGGTACACAGTTGTAGAATTTAGTGAAAAGTTGATATGAATTGTAGTCAACTGGATCTCCAGGTAAGGGTTCAGGGATTGCATGAGGACCCCAAATCATCCGGACTAGCAAGCGCTATTCTGCTCTTCATGTGTGCTGACTGGCCTCTGCTCTGTCCGTCTGCACCTTATTGGTTAAAAGCTTTGTGCTTGTGCCCTACAGTCTTGCTGGCCTGGCCTCTACTACAACCTTACGAGGCATCTTTTTAAGTTCTTGAAGTTGGAGGTCCCTGTGCTTTGTGAACCACATCAGAAGCCCTGATCCCAAGGCCCCTGCTGATGAACAGGAACCTCATAGGCACGCATCGAGTTCAGGATTTAAGGTTTCGAGTTTCATCTCGTGAGGTTTGGAAAGCATACGGTTGACAGCAGCACAGTGCTAGCAAAGTGGCACAAGCTGGTCCCAATCCGAATAAGAAGTCCATCTAAACTAAAGAGTCCCGAAGGCCCATGGCTGGAGGGTGTGCAGCTATATATATAGTTCGTTCCTTCACGTAAGCTTGGGCATTGCCGCGCTCTGGTCCAACTGGAGCTGGTTGAGCATGTTTCTCATGACCTTTTTTGTGACTCCTGGTTAATAAGAAATACGAGTACGGGAATGCAAACTTACGGTTCTGGGCTGCAATAGTGGCTCCAAAAATCCCTTTACTTGGGTAAGGCCCATATATTTTCCCCACAAGAATATATCGGAGAGCAAATGTCGATAGCCCGAAAGTGCCTCCTAAACCCTAAACCCTATCCTCAAGACCTCTTTGGCCTGCTCCAAGTGGGTTCATCGGCAAGACATCTAGGGTAGGAGGAGTGCGCTTAGGGAGAGTTAGTTAATTACACTGAGAAGCAGGCAGAAAGAATTATTGTATTCCGGTTGATACTCTTATGAAGCAGCCGGGAAGCAGTAGCGTTGGTGGATGAAATCTTGTACCACTTGGAATCCCACCCCAAACATTGTAATCTTGGGGTGCAGGCTTCAGAAGGTGGTGCAAGATTTGAGCCATCAACACTATTGTATTGCTTTTGGGCTTCTGCTTTGTTGATGACGGCTGTGCCTGCGACACTGCTCACCGCTTTCTGGCTAGGAGATGGCTTCCACTCTGCATCACATGGCTTTCTTGGGATTTTTTTGGGAGGAGCGATCTATCGGGATAGTATAGGGTTGAGGAACAATACCCCCAGCAATGGAGAATCAAATCAAAAGAACATGGTAGATGACATGGAAAGCGGGGAAAGTATATTTGGGTTCTGAATATTGGGGAGTAATTGGGGCTTAGCAACCGCGGCAGCAAAGGTCATGTCAAGAAAAAAGGTGGCGGTTTAGGAATTAGGGTCATGAAATAGGCGCAAAAGCTTTGTTTGTTTTCTGCAAAGTTGAAGTAGCTGCCATGGCTGTACTTAGCCAAGTCATTTTCGGTCTTGCACATTGACAAGGACAAGAGCTGACACGCTGAAGGAACTTGCTACAGGCCACCAGAAGCCCATGGGCAAAGCGTGTGGTCTGCCCCACAGGGTTTAGGGTGTAGGGTTTAGAGTAGGGTTTGCGGTGTAGAGCTGCCTTCTGGTAGTGGGCCCCTGCAACATGGGCGATTTGCCTCGAATTCAGATCGCCATGTCCTGGAAGACACCTGGGTAGAATATGTTTTGGCATTCCTATAATAAGGAGACCCGATTATTTACTACATGCCCATCATATGAGCTCTAGCCTAAACTCCTCAAAGCGGGTTGTATACTGGGTTGCGTAGGGAACTACTATAGGGGTTATTAAGGGGGATACATGACTTTAGACTATGGCTCATATGGTAACTTAAAGACTTAAAGTAAGTTCCTCAGCAACTCATGGATAATGGAGCCTTGTGCAGAGACTCATCGTCATGAGACTTTACGCCTTAAGTACGCCCGACCCTCAACATGGATCCTGTGAAGAGATAGTTGCCCCGGAGATATTTTTCTGGGGATCGCGAGAAACTGAGGGCCCCCCCCCCTCAAGATTCGATACAAAGCTCATTCGTGCAGGCGGCTGGAAATATCTGACCGCGTCGACAGGACAACCGGCTGAGTAATTTGGGTGCTTTCCCAAAGGGACATTTTTCGAAGCGCTCGATTTGCAATTTCGACTGGGAGCCATCCCCACATATTCCAGGGGCCCCAGGAATTGGCTATAGGTTGCTTGGGCTTGTCAAAATGAGCGGCACATGGAGATAGCAAGGAGCAAGGGGCAGGTCCTCCCTTCCAAGGATTCTGCAGGAGTAACTTTGAAAAAAAGCATCTTAAAAGGGTGGTCTGGACACCTATAGATCCCAACGTATCATAAATCTTATAATGCTAACCCCCAGAAGGTACTCCTAATTTTCGGAAATTCCCATATAGGGTTCTGAAAGCTCCTGTTTGAGCTGCCGTGAGCACAGCTACATGTCGCGAGACAGCTCAGTTCGATTGACATCCTCGCTCGCTAGGGTGCACTCGTAGAGTGTAGGCAGAATAGAAACAAGACTTCATGGGTTTGCGTCCTTCTTTGTGGGCTTACATCGCAGCGATTCGTGTCATTTTAGGCTGTGAAGTTAGTAATGATTGTTCAGGGTTTGGGATTTAGGGGTTTCGGGTTAGCGTTGCTTTAGAAGGCACAGCAACTCGGGCATCCAGACTGCAATCCTGTACGGTGAACTACTGAAAAGAAAGTCAACAGTGTTCCCCCCAAGAATGCAGTCCAGACACCCAAAAGGAATCCACCCAGGCTCTTTTTAGAGGTTTCCAGGTCTAGGGTTTAGGACTATATCGCAGGTTCAGGCTTGGAGTTAAGTATTAAGGGGATTTTGGTAGCTCAATTATCACAACGCCATAATGGAGTCCTAATTTCTTTGGGTTTGGGGTTACACCATTCAGGGTGCAACAATTTGAAGGAGTTAGGATGCAGCCCCAGCGATGTGGACAAGTGTTGTTCTGATTATGCCCATTTCTCTCTCAAACATTAGGGTTTAGGGTTTAGGGTTTATCCAAATATCCTGCAAGGTTAGATTGTCCATGGATACTAGCCACCCCGCCACCCCCAACGTGAAGGATTGCCCACCAGAGACCTTTATACTGTCATAGATGTGGATATATATATATACATATTTATATATACATACATATACATATATTTATATCTACATACACACATCTATATATATATATATGTATGTATGTGTATATACATTGGAGAAAATTAAGAAAATCTTGTGGTTACTGACGGGGTCACCAGCACAGAGTCTGGGAGCATTTTCATGGTGACCTTGGCAAGTGCAGCTGGAAAACACGAAGCTAAATCCAGTCTGAGGTGGTCATGGCTCATAGTGAGGGTCCCTCTTAGTATCCGCTGTAGAAACTGCCTAATCAAGGGTCTACTTGTTTCAGCGTACTGGTGCGAAAGGGGGATTGGGGGAGTGAATACAGGAAGCATTATAGTGGTATACTTGGGGAATGTATAGGGATTATTCTAGGGATTCATTCTTTCAGTCTCCCTTAAGCACCAGTAAGTCAGACGCCACCAGGTGAATTCTTCAATGCTACTTGCCGGAACATCAGGCTTTCCAGCAGCTTATAGGGAACTTGTGCAAAAGTAGTCATGTCTGATTACTTTGGCACACAATAGCCCAGACCCCCGAAAGGATCCAAAAAATGGAACCCCCTAATTGCCTAATAATCCCCTAGTTTCGCCAATGTAGTAATGGGTTCATATTGGAGGGTTCTATGTTATGTATCCTTTAGGGGGTCTGGGAGGGGGTGGGGGCTTTGACCATGGCATGAGTATGTTTAGGGTTTAGGGTTTGGGCTTGCGAAGTTTAAGTCAGCTTTCGGGACTGGTTTTGTGAGTATCCTTGGAGATTGGGCAGTTTAGGGTTTGGAGCTTAGGGGTTTAGGGTTTAGGGCTTAGGGGGTTTAGGGCTTAGGGGTTTAGGGTTTAGGGAGGCCCGGCAAATGGAACACATGAGGGTGGCTTTTCTTTGGATACGGGCGTGAGGAGTGAAACAGCATCAATCAATGGCTTGTAAAAGTTCCATGCATACCACATGTGCAGGTGGACATGTGCGCGAGTATGTGAACGCCACAAGTCAACCATTCCATGTCCATCCCCCCCGCAGTCAATTTCTACCATAGGATGAGCTTTAGCCTACAATCCGTTTCAAAATTTCTTCATTGTCAACTGACCTTAATTTAATCCCCGTTACAGCCGCAAAAAAGTTGATTGTCATATAGACCCCAAACCTACCTTAGGATGATCGCCAGCCAACAGCCATTGCAAGCCAAGGATGCCTCTGACATCAAGGAGAGTGCCCAGCGGCTTCTGGCAAAAGCGGCCAGCGGCGAGTACAGCCCACGCAGGCCTGATGATTCCATCGTGGAACCTGTAGAATACCGGCTTGTAAGGGATGAGCAGAAAACGCCACCACCACCACCAGCAGTGGGACGACGTGCAGTATTATGATTACAGTCACCGAAACTACTCCTCCTGCCAGAACCCTGTGTCCAACGCATGCTACTCACTAAATTTAAACTTAGTCTGCGGATCGTGGCAAAGAGGCTGGACTGCGTTTGGTCTGCAGTTTCTACCTCAACAAATGTATGATTCCTCGCATGACACCCAAAGATGTGGGCTCCAACTGTACCTGAAAGCTGATTCCTTGGTCGCCTGAGAGCTGTAAGCAAAGCGTCCTTAAGTGTATAACTGGGTTGCTGTTAAGGAACTTAAATTAAGTTACTATAATGGGTATATATAGTAAATAAAAGGGTTTCCCCAATATGGTAACTTAATTTAGGTTCCTTAACAGCAGCCCAGTAAGTGTATAACTGGTGACCTGGAAAGCCATAACGAGTAGCGCCGAAGTGGGCCCCAAACCTACCCGAGTTTTGTGGGCTCGCAGGTATGTGGACGACAATGCTGGAGACCACATCGCAGGGTTGACGCCCGAGATTTGTGATGGTGCATCTCAGAAGGTTTTTGAACGAACAGCTGGTATGAACAAGCGTTGAGACTGTGCCATGATCGGCCAGTTTCTTCAGTCTTGCTGCAGTTGTCTTGGTAGTGAGTTGCCGGGAAAGCAAACTGTAGTCATCTCTTGGTCTTTTTGAGCATGACTGTTGCATATACTCTGACTGTAAGATTTCCAACATGCAATTGAACGCTTCCTAGGGTTATGTAGTGGGTTTAAAGGGTTTATAGGGTTTATACAGAGGAAGGGGTTATGTAGGGAATATACGTAGACGATGGATTTATACAGAGGTTACATGGGGTGTATGGATCTTACCCCAATGATGGAGAATGCAATGGAAAAGCAAGGCAATATTTGCATGCCAGAGGAAGCGTGTAAGCATGTAGCTACGGGTTTGCCTCGCAGTGCGCTGATTCCTTGCATGCCGAACACAATTCTCCCTAGATTTGCTACATGGAGGCTCCGTCACAAGGGTCCCGAATCCTGGCACGTGTGTTCCATGACTTAGCTGACCCGCAGCATCCCCTGACCCGCAGCATCCCCATGTGCTCCCCATGATAGATGACGTACGCCCAACCAAGCCTTGAGCAGGAGTTTTAGATCCCCAAGACACGGTAACGCAAGGCCTTCTCTAGACATCATGGACGTTGCATACCCTGGTACGAAGCTCCAAGGCTTCTTCGTAACCTTCAGGCCACGACACTACTTTCCACACCCTCGCCCCCTCGTCCTTTTTGCACAGGTCACGCTTGAGGGAGTTTGTGGAGAAGGAGTTCTCAGACAGGGTGAAGCTACCAGAAGGCCGCACAATCTTTTGCCAACCAGTTGCAAAGTCCCTGCGAGGGCCACTTCGCTGACTTTCTCCCTTTGTGCTTCCGGCGTAAACTAGATACAAAACAGTCCATTTCTGCTCTGCACTTCTACATAGAGAGCCAGGATGATTAAACAAAAAAGCTAGCCTTGTGTTAAGCATTGCTTGTTCTGATGAATGTGTTGCTAGTCATATGCTATGCTGGGCTTTGAAGGGCATCAGGCTTCCGCCAGAAGTGGTTGGGGATTTGGTTAGTGGCTCAGGAAGCATAGAGGCTAAGCTGCAAACGCCAAGGAGATTCTAACCTTCTTGTGCCCATTTTCGGTCCTGACCCTAAATCTCGAAAAAAAGAAGTTTCCAGAAAGGATAATGTGACAATATGTACAATGACTTTCGTAAGGAAGGATATTATTGCAGCCCGGAATGCAGCTTCAAAGCCTTGAGGATCAAAGACCCACCTACTGAGTTTCCACGCAGACCTCAAGCTGAACTTATCAAATCTGCTTTGCAATCATCAGTTTGTTTTTTTGGCGCTGTGCGTTGACTTCAGACGGCATTGCAGGGTCGCGCGGCATAAACATGCAAGTAGCAGCACAAACTTTTTTGGTACTATTCCTGCACCAGTAACAACTACGCAGTCAAGAAATACATGACGGGCCAGGAACTCGGAAGCGGGCTGGGGCTCAGTATTCATGAGAGGGAGGAGATGATTCAGAGCGCATTGAAAGCTCAATTGTTGTTTGATAAGGTTTAGGCCTGGCAGCTTCCTTTTTCTATACCGGAAATTTGTGTGGATGCTTCGCCTCACTTGCTCGAATTTCTTTCAGGATGCTCAAGTTCACGCCTCTACAGACATGCTTGCTGATGGCCTGAACCTCTCACTTTTACAAATTTTGAAGCCCTAGACCAACACAGCTCTGCCCGCACAGGTACGAGGTTGCTGTTCCCATCTGGGGCTTGATACGGCAAATACAAAAAATATTGTATCGAAAGGAGTTTGTATTAAGGATCATATCCTTAAAAATCTGATAATTTCTAGATTTAGATATTCGTTCGGATCTCGGGATTTTAGAATGGAATATACAAAATTTATAATTAGAATGAGTATTCGGAATAAGCTGCTCCGGCTCTATATATTAAGATATCGCTTCCCTTTGCGGGGTCAGATCTAGGACGTCTAAGATCCGAGGAAAAATGAAAGATTCTGAGATATTTGATCTGAGGGATTCAAAAGGAGATCTAAATTATTCGGATATTTTCTATTAGATATATATCTCTTTAATTATGATTTATAGTATCGATGAATATCAAAATGATAAATAGATAATGAAATTCTTGAGATTTCTAAGTTATATATATAGAGAATGATTTTTTCGGATTATAATTGGATTAGATAATCGAAATTTGGAAAAGATTTTTTTCTCATATTTTGCGGAGATTTAGATATCGATCCTGAAAAAAATTAGAATTGATTTATTATTTATAATAAGGAAAATTATTCCGCATGACATTTGATATACAATTAATATATAAGATTATATATTGGATATATCGTGATATTTATAAATATTTCTATATTTTTTATATATGATATTAGATAATAAAATCTTAATAATATGATTTGTATTAAATCGTATTTATTTAGTCGCCTAATGAAAAAAATTGGAGCCGGAGAGGAATATAGATTGCAATATATGATATTACGGATCGGTACGTTATTTCATATATGAAATTATAATTTCTAGAATTTGATTTCTAAGGAGGATTTTTCGATAATGAGATCTAAATTGCTAGTAATATTGGAGAATATAATTTGGAATCATTTTTTATTTATGATCTTTTCGCCTAGAATATTCCTAAATATCTCTTTATATCTAACGTCTTACCAAATAAAGAAGGAAAAGAAGAAATATTTAGAACCGGCTCTCTCGAATAATTGAATTAAGAAGAACCGACCAATCAAAATATTGGAGAAGATAATGAAATACGATATACTCTTATTTCAAAGGATATATATTCGAATCTTGATTTCTTATTTTGATAGATTCAAATAAAATTTCTGGAGATCTCTAAATTAGGATCTTCAAGATTCGAATATTACGACCAATATTTTTTGAATTTCCTATGATTTTATAAATGATGGTATCTCTACGGAAATCGTCTTCAATAAGAAAATAAAGAATAGAATTATTGAGATCATCTCATAATTCGTATTCTTCTAAGACGAAATTCTTCCTCAAATAACTTCAAATTCTCATCGATTTTTCCTCTATTAAATCTATCATCCGCATATTCGGATTCCTAGGAAATATCATTCCCAATTTCAATTAATCTCCTATAAGAAAAGAAAATAAAAATATCATCATGAGATATCGTTATTGATCTCGCGAATAAATAGAAATAACATTCTCGTCATCAAAAATAATTATATTCAATAAATCTACCAGGGGAAGGAATATATCTACGTTATTCGTGCAGAAAAATAATGAAGGCAGGAATTCTATATAGATATCTTTAATATCTTTCTGGAAGAGATTTGTCGTGGGATCCCTCTCGATTGCGGTTATCCTAATCCTTGGCAATGGGAATCATGATTTCAATTCCTCCTGAGATCTCGAGAGCTTCTTATTGGATAGAATAAATCTCTCATATATAATAGCGATATCAAATCTGAAAAATATATTTGAATATAAATTTCTAGAAGATATATTCTATTACGATTGATCTGATATCTTGAAATAAAAGAATAGATTAAAATTTTCTTTATCGTTTTTATCGATTCTTATAAGAATATCTCTTGCAAATCATAATTATAATATTGTCGGGATATCTTCATCAATATATATATATAAGAATTAATATGAAATCATAAGAAGGGAAGATTCAGATGAATATCTAATAAGATCTTTGAGAAAATCAATCCTCGATCTATCAGATCTCAGCCTGATTGCAATAGGAAAGAACTAATATCTTTTGAGAGTGCGACGGCGTGGAGGGCTGATTTTCTCGAATAAACGTGCCTTTTTTCTTCAATTTTCATATGGTTTTGACGATTACCCTATTGGAGAAGATATCCAGATTGTT